TGAGTCGAAATCGACTCGACAGCAACAGGTTTGGTTTCGGTTTGGTATGCCTGTAGTAAAATCCCATTTGGGAATGGGTTGTCTTTGTTATGTTAATGAGAGAGAATTAGCATAGGATGTGTCTTGAGTCAATCTCTTGAGATATAAAAGAGATTAAACAAGCAAGTGAGTGAGCAGAGATGGAGTAAGATAGATGCCAAGACACGTGGAGATCTCCGAGGAACCAGGAAGCAGAAGCTGAAGAAACAAGAACCTTCCCCCAGAGCTGACAGAGAGAGAAGGACTTCCCTTAGAGCCTGTGCCCTGAATTTGGACTTCTAGCCTCCTAAACTGTAAGAGAATAAATTTCTGTTTGTTAAAGCCACCCGCTTGGGGTATTTCTGTTACAGCAGCACTAGATAGCTAAGACACTGGGTTAAAGTCTACGTCCAGGCAGGGCTGATTCCTTCTGGAAGCTCTGAGGGGAGAATCTGTTTCCTTGCCTTTTCCAGCTTCTAGTGGTTGCCTGTATTCCTTGGCACGTAGCCCCTTCATCCATCTTCAAAGCACATCCTCCAATCTCTGCTTCTGTCATTATATAGCCTTTTCCTCTTCTGTAGTTATAGTTCCCTCTGCTGTCCTCTTATAGGGACACTTGTGATTACATTGAGGACCTACCTGAGTAATCCAGGATAATCTCTCCAGCTCAAGTACTTAATCACATCTGCAAAGCCCCCTTTGCCATATAAGGTAACATTCACAGGGTCCAGGCATTAGCACCTGGTTATCTTTGGGAGTCGTTATTCAGCCTGCCACACCAGGATTCTGTTTTTAAAGCCTGTTTTCACTTTCTTCCGACGCTCTCATCTACTCTCCAGTGTGCGAGTTCCATCTCACATTTCAACTGCCCACCGGAACCTCTCCCAGGATATCCCACAAATATCTCAAACTTAACACGTCCCACTCTGAATTCATTATCGTTCTCTCTGACTCCCTTCCAACTGCACCAACCCCTCTCCTCTTCTTTCTGTGTCCCTAGTATGCGCAGTTGGCACTTCCTTCTTTCCAGTTGCCCCACCTGGGAACCAGGGAGCCACCCTTCATTCCTTCGACTCCCCCCTGCCCTACCCAATCTATAGAGTGATCCCAGGCGGTTATTTTCTGGCCGAGAGAGTGATGAAAAGTTGTTTTCCTACAATCTGCCAGGGACCTAGGCTTCCCCGATATGGTTGTAGGAGTTGAAGCTGAGAGGGAAAGGGAAGAGGGTGGAAAGAATGGTGGAGAAAGGCAATTTGATAAACTTATTGAGATTCTACCATGTGCCAGGAGTTCCTGGGTGGTGCAAAAGGTTAACCCGCTTGCTGCTAACTGAAAGTTTGGATATTTGAGTCCACCCAGAGGCACCTCAGAAGAAAGCCCTGGTAGTCTACTTCCAAAAAATCAGCCATTGAAAATCCCATGGAGCCTTTTGGCTCTCTGAGCAGCACCACGGCGGTCGGCAAGAACAAGCACCTTACAAAGGTGGCAAAAATGGAGCCAAGAAGAAAGTGATTGATCCATTTTCTAAGAAAGATTAGGATGGTGTGAAAACACCATTTGTGTTTAATATTAGAAATATCGGGAAAACACTAGTCACAAGGCTGCAAGGAACAAAAATTGCATCTGATGGCCTCAGGGGTCGTGTTTTTGAAGGGAGCCTTGCCGATCCGCGGAACGATGAATTTGCATTTAGAAAATTCAAGCTAATTACTGAGGCTGTTCAGGGCAAAAACTGCCTGACCAACTTCCACGGCATGGAGCTTACCCGTGACAAAATATGCTCCATGGTCAACAAATGGCAGACAATGACTGAAGCTCATGTTGACGTCAAGGCTACCGATGGTTATTTGCTTTATCTGTTCTGTGTTGGTTTTACTAAAAAACACAACAATCAGATTCGGAAGATGGCTTATGCTCAGCACCAACAGGTCCGCCAAATCCGGAAGAAAATGATGGAACTCATGATCTGAGAGGTGCAGGCAAATGACTTGAAAGAAGGGGTCAACAAATTGATTCCAGACAGCACTGGAAAAGACATAGAAAAGGCTTGCCAATCTATTTATCCTCTCCATGATGTGTTTGTTAGAAAAGTAAAAATGCTGAAGAAGCTCAAGTTTGAATTGGGAAAACTCATGGAGCTTCACAGTGAAGGTAGTAGTTCTGGAAAAGCTACTTGAGATGAGACAGGTGCTCAAGTTGAACAAGCTGATAGCTATGAGTCACCTGTTCAAGAATCTGTTTAAAATTCAGATTATTAATAATGACAAATGAAAGATCTTATCTGTGAAAAAAGAAAAAGAAAATCCTATGGATCACAGTTCTGCTCTGACACTCATGAGGTCGCCATGAGTCAGGGTTAAGTCCACGGGCAACTGGTTTTTACCGTGTGCCAAGCCAGGCTAGACCCTGAGGGGTAGATGTACTACTATCTTTTCCCGGTTCCCAGTTGGAAGGGTGGACAAGAGATTACAAGTGTGATAAAAGTCACCAAAGAGGACACACAAGGTGAGCTGAGGGTCTAACTGGGGGGTCTAAGTTAGGGAAGGCCTCGCTCTCTAAAAGGAAGTGGTGTTTAGGCTGAGCCCTGTAGGAGTCAGTTGAGCAAGTTCTACGATGATTGTGGCTTCTTTGTTTAGAGGCGTCTGGCTGGAGGGCAGACTGGGGCGGGAAGTGGCATGAGATCAGCCTGCGGAAGTTTGCAGGGACTACATAAAAAGGGCCTTAGTCGTCTAGATTACCAGTTTACAGGAAATAAGGGAGATAGAGGAACAAATTAAACAATGCTGGGAGGAAGTAATCATCCAAACACAGAATGAGGAACATTCTACAGGACACATGATTCCATTTCTTATCGAATCAGTGGCATGACAACAAAAAAGACATAAAAGGAAGGGAGGTCTGTTATAGAACTAAAGAGACTTAAGAGACGTAATAACCAAAAGTAATGAGTGGGTCTTATTTATTTCTTAATTGGAACAAACCAAGTGTAAAAGACATCTTTGAGATAATTGAAGAAATATGAAATACGAACTGGGTGTTATAAAGTATTAAGGAATTATTGTTAATTTTATTGGGTGTGATAATGGCATGGCAGTTACATTAAAAAAATCCTTATTAGTTATAAATGCTTATCGGTGAGATGATGTCTGGGGTATGTTTTTAAACACTCTGGGGAAAAAAGTGGGAGAGGGGATAATAAAACGGGCACAATGTTGATAATTGTTGAAGCTGGGTGATGTGCAGGTATATGGAGATTCATTATGCTAAGTCTCTGGACTTGTATATATTTGGAAATTTAGTAATAAAATGTTTATAATAAAAGAGAATGATAGATGCCATGCTTAAAAGCCCTACCAAGGAATCTGAACCAGGTTTTTAAAAACTTTTATTTTGAAATAATTTTAGATTTACAGATGAGTTATAAAGATAGTTGAGTGCTCACATATACTCGTCACTCACCTTCCGCTAATGCTACATCTTATATAACCACGGTAAGTTTATCAGTACGTAGAAATTAGCATTGCTACAATACGATTAGCTACACTACAGACTTTATTTGGATTTCTCTAGTTTTTCTATTCCAGGATCGAATCCAGGATAACACATCATATTTCATTGTCATATCTCCATAGTCTCTTCCAATCTGTGACAGTTTCTTGGGCTTGCCTGTCATGACTTTGACACTGTTGAAGAATAGTTGTCCGGTATTTTGTAGACTGTCCCATAATTTGGATTTGTCTGGTGCTTTCTTGTGGTTGGACTGAGGTCATAGATTTTCACGAAGAATACCACAGAGTTGATGTGGCCTTCTCATCACATCAAGTCAGGGGGCACACCATATCAGCATGACTTATTACTTATTGTTAACCTCGATCACTTGTTTAAGGTGGTGTTTGCCAGGTTTCTCCACTATTTTTTCCTTTCTGTACTCTATTCACTAAGTCCAGCCCACACTCGAGACTTTTTTAAGAGCTGAGAGAACTCACTGAAGGGATTTAAGCAGTAATGTGCGTAAAGGCATTAAGGAGTAATGTGTTCAAATGTCTGTTTTAGAAGGAATACTCTGGCTGCAATACAGTTTGCAATGGGACTGGAAATAAGCTGATAGATTTAAGTGATTTTAGGACACTGACTCAGCAGGAGTTGCTTGTTACTGGGTATGAGGGATGAGAGCCAGCGGAGTGAAGGATGGCTGCCAAGTTTCTAACTTGCACAACTGGTGTCTGGGGCCTTTCACTGAAGCTAAACCAAAGGGTCTGTGTGTTCCTAGGAGGTTAGGTGAGATATTCCTGCCATCTTAGTAGAAGACACTTTCTGCTTCTATCCTTAGAGTGGGTTCCTAAGGGTTATTGGGGCTGGAAAATGACTCAGCAACATATAAATTAAAAGAGATTTTGAATTACTAAGGAGGGTCAGAGTCCCAGGCAAGAGAGCGTACAGCGTCAGAGAGCCTGAAGGGGGCTGAGGGAAAGTAAAACCAGTTGCTATTGAGTGGATTCCGACTCATGGCAACCGCATGCATGTTAGAGTAGAACTGTGCTCCATAGGGTTTTCAATGGCTGATTTAGGGGAAGTAGATTGCCAGGGCCTTTCTTCTGAGGTGCCTCTGGGTGGACTCATTAACTGTTTGCACCACCCAGGGACTCAGGGGGAAACTAAACCATCCCTAAATCCTTCTCTCCCTCTTCATCATTTCCCAGTTTAATGATCCGATTTTGAACATATGATCAAAAGGGATCTCTGGGTGCCGCAAGACCCCGGTGAAGCGTTTGGCTATTACGCGCTAGACTATCCGCCGAAAGGCTGGCAGTTAGAACCCACCCAGGGCCCCTTCAGAAAACAGTCCTGGTGAACTGCCTCCAAAGGTCACAGCCTTGAAAACTCTATGGAGCAGTTCTACTCTGCACACATGGGGTCGCCATGAGCTGGAATCGACTCCACGGCAATTTACAACAAAAATGAAAAGGTCAATGACTCAGTGATTTCAAACAAGTAATTTTATTTACCTTTTCGTGTTCCACCAACCAGTACTCCCCCTCGGCCTTGTGTTTTTCAATTTTTCCTTTCCAACGTGTGTTGGGGGAGAGGGTGGCCTGCTACTATCTCAGCGCTCATCTCCGCCGGCGGGCCCCCCGCCCAGGCTTCTTCTCTCCTCGGCGTCTTCGGGCGGGGGCTGGAGGAGCCGCAGGAATTGGGGCCGGGGGCGCAGGGCCGGGCGCCGGGCGGGCCCCACTCCCTTGCGTGGGCTTGTACACCAGATGGAAGAGGAAGGCGTTGCAGTACCTGAGGGAGGCACGTGGGCGCGGTCAGGGGCGGGGCCAGGGTCCTTTTCGGGAGTGGGGCGAGGAATCAGAAGATTCTTTGGCTGGATCTCAAGAGGAGTGTGTTGGGGAGTTGTTGAGACCAGCGCGGGTGGTGGCAAGTCGCGAGGGCAGAGAAGTCGGGTGGTACGGATGGGCAAGGAGGGTCCCAAGAGCAGAGAGGATAGAAATGGGCCTTTTAGGATGCGGAGGAAGAGAAGTTAAGGCTCAGGAAGGAAGTAGGGCCCTCACCAAGGCATGCAGTTGTCGGCCGCTCTGAGGCGAAAAGGGGAGCGGAAGGGATTGGGCTGTGGAGGGCTGGTGCCTCCTCCTGTGGCCACGGCCATGGTCTGGTCGTCCATCACACAGCCGTACTCGCTGCTCTCGGTGAAAAAGGCCGGCACGCGGAGGGACTGGGGGCGGGGCGGGGCATCAGAGATGCTCTCTGAGGCTCCAACCCCCAGGTACCTCTCAGGCAACCAGGGTGGCCGACAGGGCTGGAAACTGAGGCCCCAGAACACACCAGGATGGGGGAGAGGTACCAGACAGACACAGAGGGACAAGCGGACCCGTGCGCGCCCCCCAGGTCTGTGGAGCAGATGATGGGCAAGAGGAGAGAGTCCAGGGACTCAGGAAGAGGAGAGGCTGGGCAGGAGATGACGATCCCCTTTGTCCCCATTCCCCACCTGTAACCGGGGCAGAGAACTCAGCCAAGTGTCCTTGAGACCAAAGCCGGAGTTAAATCCTGCAGGAAGACATCAGGGAGAAGCTGGCTTCCATGGGTAACTTCTCCCCCACCTTCCCCACCTGCCCCTGGGCCCCAGGCTCTCACCGATTACCAGGTCAGGCTTAGGCCCCTGAAGCAGGTGGTAGGGCCGTGCTGACACTTTGATCTGCAGGTCCCTGCGGCCCCCCTTCTCCTTTGTCCCAGAGCTGAGCCGTGCTGATACTCCAGAACCAGGGCGGACAGACAACTCGGGGCCATCCTGGGGGGCCAAGAGTGGGGTGGGGAAGCCACTGTCAGTGAGGGTACTAGAGGGTGCACAGGCAAGATGGGGGTGGGGAGAGGAAAGGAGGGGCCTAGTCAGAAGGACAGTAGAGAGATCAGGACTGAAGAGCAGGGCTCCCCTCAGCCCTCACCCTCTGCAGAGTAAAATGCTGTTGGTCACTCTCAGGGGGCAGGTCGTCACCCACAAATTGCAGTTCCAGAGCCACATGGGGAAGCAGGACCAAAAGCTCCTGAAGGCCAGAGAGGAGGACAGATGTGGGTTCTACCCTGTGTCCACCTCCCCACATCCAAATGCCCAACCTCTAGGCCTCGTGGGACATACCCAAAACACCATGACAAGATCAAATTCCTTCCCAGCCTCTACCACGTGGATCTTCAGAGACTGTTTATTCTGGATGTTCAGCTCTGGGACTGGGTGAGAAGCCAACTTTTTAAGGACATGGCCTCCCTCCCTTCTGCCAGCTCCCTGTGCCCCTCTCCATGCACTCCTCCCCCCCCCCCCGCCTGGCTCTCCTTACAGGACTGCGGCACCAGGTGGGTGATGACGTAGTACACAGTCAGTGGGTAGGTGAGAAGCACAGCCATGGGGGAGTCCAAGCTGAGGCCCCGCCACGTGTAGTAATCCTGCCATGAGCCTGGGGAGAGTGGGTTACAGGGGGACCTGGCCCCAGGCCCACACCCGAACTGCTCCAAACTAATAGCCCTCTTTTTCTTAGGGACCCAGGCTTCTGGTCCTTCAGCCCTGTCCCTACCCCTAGCTCCCTCAGGGCCCCTCCAACTCACCGAAGAGACTCCTGGGTGAATCTAGGGGCACAGGAGGCATCAAGGTAGGCCCATCCCCCTGGAGAAGCTGGTAGGGATCTCCTGAGAGGATGATAGGAAGAGGGGGGCATGGTGTCAGTGAGACCCCCACTTGGCCCATCCCCCTCTTCCTTCCAAAGGAGCTGTGTCTCCTTGGAGATGGCCTGGAGCTGCAGCAAGTAGAGTGGGAATTTGCCTGGGGAGGGGGCTTCTGGAAGGGGTAGGCAGGAGTGACTTCTTTGAGGGTTGGAGAATGGCCTGTAATGGCCCTGGAAAGTGGTGGGGGAAGGGGATTGGTGTGTGTGCGGAGGGGTTATCTGGGACCTGGACAACTTCCCTCTAGGCTGAGGGGCCCAAGCCTGAAGAGAAGCCACACGCACCACTGAGAAGAAGGCTGAGGGATGGTGTGTTGCCCCTGGGGTGTCTGGGCATGCCGGGTCCTGGAATCAGCATGCTGAGCTGCGTCCAGTAGCCACGAGTGAGGCCCCGAGAGGCCAGGAAGGCCTCCTTGTTAAAAGTTTCACTGGTCACCTCTGGAGAGGAGGAGGGAGAGGCTGAGGGCCTGGTGGCTAGGACCCCAGACTTTAGCTCTCCTCAGCATCCCCCAAGGACCCTGGGTCTGAGTCTGGTTCTCGTCAGAGAGGGAACTAACATTCCTGAATGTCTACAGTGGGCCAGGCACGGAGCCCACGTAACCCTTATAACAATTCCTTGAGTTTTAACATTTGTTTGTATTCCTATTTTGCAGATGAGGAAACAGAGACTCAGAGAAGGAAAGCGATTTGTGTAAGGTCACAATGCCAGTTAGTGGTAGAGCTGGGAAGGGAGCAAGTGTTTGAATCCTTATCCTGGAGTCCCCTAAGCTCACTCAGGAATGCTGGCACTCAGTCCTCAGCTCCAGAGACCCTGTCTCCAGCCCCAGGGATCTAGCCCCCAGCTCCCAGCACATAGCCTTCAACACCAAGGCCCTGTTTCCCTTCCTAGGTACCCAGGCCCCCGTCCCAATCCTGACCTCCGGATGGTACCTGCAGTGTAAGTAAAAGGCAGAGTTGCCAGCTCTCCCGCCCGCTCCATGAAGGCTGCAAGCCTCGGGCACCAGAATCGGTGGCTCACATCATCTGGGCATCGTCGCCAGTCGGCCAGGAGACAAGCCTCTCCACAGTACAAGACAGCACCACACTGGGGGCTGGGAGACATGGGGTGCTACTCTGTAGGTCCTTTGTCTGTTATCCCTCTGCCCTGAAGCTGCCCATGTGTCAGTCGGTCTATCTGCATACTCTAACAGCTTGTTTGTTGTACTTTTGTCCCATCTTATCTCCTGCTCCTCACTCTGTCTGTCTGCTGGGCCCCCCAACAGCCTGCTTTCTTTGTGTTGGCCTGACTGTTGGGGTCCTCCTCCCTCTCACTCCATCTTTGCTGGCTGCTCACCAGGGTGTCAGCTTCACTTCAAAGCTGTGCTTGTGACAAACATGGCAGGTTCGAGCTCGAAGGGAGGCAAAGGTGAAGCCTGGCCGGGGACCCCATGATCGCATTGGGGTTTTGGCTAACTTCACTCCCAGCCTTGGGACCAGGCTCTCCAGCTCTCTGGATGGGGGTAGAGATGGTGTCAGGCTGGGGGCTCAGGAGTCCAGGCCCCCAGGCCTCCTACCCTCAGATGTTAGATTTCTGTACCGGTGCAGCTGGGCGTCTCCCACAGTAAGCTGTCGGGGCTTTCGGGGGTCCCCGGATCCCATGGGGCAGGCCATACTGTGGCAGAGGAGAGCATAGGCCCGAGGAGCCAGGTTCTCCGTTCGTGAGCCCCGGCCTGCGCTCCCCTGGGCTCCATCCATTAGTAGGTCGATGCCCAAGATGGTGCCATGTTCATCCGTCACCAGCAAGAGGCAGGAAAGGTGCAGGGGGGCAGTCTCTGGGGAAAGAGGGAAAAGTCAGGGGGCAAAGATGGTCAGGGTCAGAATTCCAAATTCAAAGGCCTACAGGGGCTAGGCAAATAACCTGTGGGTAAAGGGGACTAGGTGGAAAGGGCGTGCCGCATCAAGAAGTAGGCCGTCTTGTAGAAACGTAGGCCTGCTGTCGGAACTTTAGATTTTTCTTAAGAAAGTATAAATACTAAATAATTTCTGAATTTTTTTTTTCTTTCAAGGTTTAAATGTTGGCTCAAATTAAAAAACACTGTGGGTCAATGAAAACACCTCCTGAAGGTCATCAGTTTGTGACCCCTGGCTGGGTTCTGGAGGGTGGGAGAGTGCTCTGGAAGGTGGAGTGTGGTGGGGCAGGAGGTAAGGCAGGGCAAGCCCTGAGTTCTTACCACTTCTCCGTCCCTTTCTCTTCTCCGGCCCTGTTTCGTCCTCTGCCCTGTCCTCTCTGCAAGCATCCTCACCACCTCCTGCCTCCTGCTCAGCCTCCTCTGGCTCCCCCGGAGGGTTTGCTTCCTGGGGAGACTCCCTGCTGGTAGTGGCTGGCTCCCCATCCTCCTCTGGTTCCACCTTCTCTGGGCCTGCATCCTCATCCTCTCCTTTCTCCTCCTCCTCATTTTCCTCTTCCTCCTCGCCTTCCTCCCCATCCTCTAGGCTGACAAAGCTGACATAGGGGCTCAGATCTCGCAGATGGAGTGGAGGCTCCTCTCCTAGGAGCCGGGCAGCCCCCAGGCCTGACCCAGGGCCTGGCTCTGCCCCTTGCCCCAGGCTAATGCCCACACTACGGTTGGGCAACACATGGAGCACCCAAAGGGCGGGGTCCTGGGGCAGCCTTCGGATCTGAGCCTCCAGCTGTCGCCAGCGGCCCTCAAGGCTGGCCCCCACAGCCCCTCGCTCTGCCACAAACTTGCGGAACCAGCCAAAGAGGAGGGCAGCGAAATCAAGGAACTCATCGCGGTATCCAGACACAAACTCCATGTCTTCGGGGGCACAGGGCCTGGACCCAGACTGAGCAGAGGAAGGGGGATATATGGTGAGGGTGGGAGTGGTGGCAAGAGAGTCTGGGGCTTGGTCACGAAAACCGGGGAGGGGTTGGGTTTGAGAGTCTCCTGCGGAGGAATCTGTGGATGCGTGTTAGGAGCTGAGAATAGGGTTTTCAGGGCTGAGGATGGGAGTTCAGGGACCAGAATGGGGGTTAATCTTAAAAGTGGGAAATTAGGGTTGAGGATGAGCACTCAGGGCTCAAAATTTGAGAACTCAAACCCTCAAAGGCAGAGTTTGATTGAGGGTGGAGATGGGAGTGGCTGATCCTACTGGGAAGGGTCTGTCTGGGAGGGAAGAATTTGGACTGTCTCTGGGGTGTGGGAGGAGGGAATGAGGCAGGGCATCCCCTCGGCTTAGCTCGGTTTGGCGGTGAGCCCTAGTAGAGCTAGTCCCTCCCCGCCGCCCCACTACTCCGGTACCTGCAGCCGCCACCACTTTTCGAAGGTAAATACCACGGGGGGTGGAGTGGAAGGGCAGTAGTGACGTCAGGCCCGCCCGCGCCCCCCCGCCCGCCCCTCGGTGGCAACGCCCCTGGACTGCTGCATCCCGTCGCTGGTCACTGCCCTGACCCTCGAGTGCCCGGCCGGTCGGGAGCCTGGCTTCCTGCAGGTTTATCTTGCCATGTGACTGCAGTGCAAGCCGCGGCGCCACAGCCAGACGGGGAAGTGAAAGCTCTTGGAGGAGGCTGGACCCAGCCGGTCCCCCATTTCACAGCTCCCGCGGACTGGCCTGGGGCGGGCGCGGGG